AAGAGCAGACTCTAAGCTGGGAGGGGGAGGATGCTGTAGAGCCTGACAAAGGTGTCCCTATTCAAATAGACAGAGTTTTGCTTTCATTCCTTTGATAAAGCACTTCCTAGTTTAGCTGACACATTCAACAAAATACAGGCAAATGAAGATTATTAAGGAAAAGGTTTCCTTTCTCGTTCTATATTATGAGAGGAGTAGGCATTGTCAGCAAAAATTTTACACAGGCTGCTAATGCTTCTGTGCGTTCGGTGTCACATCACATCTAAAGGGCTTCATTGTTATGCAGGTGGAGATCTGCTCCTGTGTTGGAAGATGAAAGGCAGGGTTGTCCTTGTTAAATCCTTCCCCTGTGCTGTCTCTGAACTGCTTCTCTATGTGGGTTTCTAATGACAGTGTGAAAGACCTCCTGATGAATAGCTCACTGAGATAGCAGCTGTGGAAATACATTGTTAAAAAAAAAGATTCTGGCTGTTCAGCACAAGTGCTGATGAGGATTGGCATTGGGATATGTGTTGGTTCAGCCAGGGAGTCATTGATAGCTCTAAAATGCTGGGACAGAGATATTGAAGGAAATGTATTGATCACCATTCCACTGGCATGAATTATGGACACGGAGGTAAAGGAAGATTTATGTTATCATCAGCAATAGAATAGAAATGGCCATATGTTGTCCGGGTCTATGAGGCTGAGACAATTTCATAATTCTCTGTACCCCATGAGGGTGAGACAACACACTGTTATGTGTGAGCACAAATGTAGTAAGTAAGGACCTGCCGTACACATTCCCACCGAATTTCCCACAACCCTCATGGAGCGGGAGCAGCTCAGTGTTTCCCAATTGCCTGCAAGGGATGTGGGAATGGCTTGGGAGCAGCACCTGAGTGACCTCGCTGCTGGTCGTGAGGCATGACGCAGTAGCATCCCATGAGAATGGTTGACCCCAGGCCAGCTCAAACAATGTCCATCTCAGCAAAGCATCATCTAAAACACACAGAGTTGCTAAAGTTCTGTGTGATAAAAGGACATCAGACTGCAACTTGCTCACAAATGTCTAGAGGTGGGGTGGGAAAATGATAAAGCATTGTGATAAAAGAGTAACACTTGGGAAATTGGGGTAAGAACTTCTTTGTATATATCATGTGTCTGAAATTACTTCAAAATAAAAAGTTAAGCAACTAAAGAGAGAATGTGAGAGAGGGGGCAGTAAATATAAATTACAGCTGGTAGAGGGATCTGGGTCATGTTAAAGATCTGCAGTATGTCACCAATTCAAAACAGTAGCTGTGCATTACTAAATTATTAATAACTGGTGGCCTACTTCTTTACATCTGAAAAGAGAAAAAGAAATACAGACTTACAGAAGTTTGAGGATAGATAGTGCCAAATTAGAAAGCTCATTTCTCTCAAGTTAATAACTTGAATGTGGCCTGAGACAGTCCATAGTTTGCAGAAAAATAAGATTTAGAAAATGTGAAGTTTTGGTTAGTTAAATGGAAAAATGCTTGGTTTTATCTAGAAACACTTATTTAAAATTAAACTAATACCTTTATTTAGCAGTGGGTTAATTGATGAAATGTGTATTAAGTACTCTGTGCTAAGTGCTGTGAAGGCTACAGGGAACATGATTGGGTCATAGCTATGAAGGTGTGATGCCTTTAAGGTGATTGTGAGTCTTTAGGAATCCTATCTAATAAAAGAGAAACATGGTAATTAGCCGTAACTTCGCTACCTTTCCCATTGGTTAATCAGGGAGATATGCAAATTAACTGCCAACCAAGATGGCGGCCGGCAGCCAGGCAGCTGAAGCGAACATGAACTTGAGGCTTGCTTACTCCAGTGATGGAGGAAGTCAATGTTCCCCGCCTGCCGCAGCTCAGCTCTGCGCTCCAGATGAAACAATGTTGCAATTATAGAACCTAAACAAACCCCAGAGACCTGCTTT